ACCATTGGCTTGACAGTGAACCGACAGCGTTCACTTCTTGTGGGCAGCGTAAGAGTTATCACAGGCAGACCATGTCTGTAATTAATAGTTACTTCTGGGGGGGGCGGAAAAGAAAACTAAGTGAAGAAGTCATATCGTAAGTTGTAGTTTAATTTAAAAGCTGTTTTTAAAACACAGGATGAATAAAGAAAACCACACAAAACATTCTAGATTTCTTTAATAAGTATAGTACTTCTATTTCTGGGGGAGAGAGAGACATAAAAAATATATATATAACATGCAACTAACGTCATCTCATCCTACTCCCACAAAATAAATGAAAAGCTTGTTGACATTGATGGGAGGGGGGAAAACCTGCTGGGCAAGCTTACCGTCAGATGGCACCAGCGTGCTGTAAGGTGCTCCTTCCCGGCCCCTCCAAGCTCCGGCGTGCCTCCACAGCCGCACCTGCAGCACGGACACAGGGAGCTTGCTTTAGAAAGGTTAGGATGCAAGATTTATCTGGTCAAAGGCAGCACCCAGCCTGTCACGGTGATCTGCTTCTGTGTGATCTGACAGCAGAGGTGTCCTCAAGAAAAACTCCTCGCTTACTGATTTCTATTTAAAAGACAGAACCGTCCTTATAGAAAGCATAAACATTGCCAAGGGTATTAAGGTATTGCCCATAGTTTAACTTTTTGTCCAGCGTGGTGTAAATAACTCAAGGAAAAAAGGAAAGGGGAGGGAAAGAAAGAAAAAAAATAATCCAGTGTTTCTGAAGTGCTTCATGCAACTCTCACAATAAGCCCTCTCCTCTACCACAAAAACAGCTGCTTGAAAGAGCTCTACATCGTGGCGCCTGAAGGCAGAAGCATTCTGCAGCAGTTCAGAGTCCGCAGTGTAACTTAAAACAGTGTGCATGGTTTCCGTGAGGTCTTTTACTGCCAAATCGTAAACAGAATGGCACTCTTTATAACCTCAAATAAAATAAAAGCCAATGCAGACTGAGGTCACTCCCCTTTGCTTCGTAATTATGTATCATATACCAGAAGTTAACTATTGACATTCATGGTGTTCAAGGACAACAACAACAATAAAGCTTGCCAAAGTATGGAAGATATTTTATTTTTATTTTTAAAATCTGAACAGCTGTTTCAACTGCAGCTGAGATGCTGCTGCTGCAACTAACAGCACCGCCAGCCTCTGGTACCACATTGAAGGAGGTACAGCCACATGAAATAAGTATCCCGTACGCCCTGGGACAGTGCAGACAGCAGGATTTTGATCCTGCATCGTTGCGCTCCCAAGCCCATCCCTTCCAGGGACATTGGTGAGAACCATCAAGACGCTTCAACACAGCTATGTCAAAACAGAGGAGACAAACTGCTCTGATTAGACCCTTGTACTTAAAGCAGTCCAGCCACGCTGTGGAAGATGCAACTACTCTGACACAAAAGTACTCTGCTTCTACAGCTAGTCCCCCCTGCACAAGGAGATGAACAATTTTATTGCAGTGACTCCCACAAAGTAGGCATTACTGCTGTAACCTAAGTGTAACAGGCAGAAGTAAGAAGGGAAATCACATCCCTGAATAAGCTGGTTACAAAAATTGTGCATGGGCTGGACCAAGGCATGGGGTTTGAAATATGATAGCCGGGGGAAGCGGAAAACAATGTGGGGAGAGATGACAAGGACCAATTCTCCCTCTGGTCAGCTTTATAGCTCATCTGTCTGAAGGCCACAACATTTCATAGTCTGCAAGATAATCTCCTTCAACAAGGCAGGAAAGGAAAGCTACAAATGCAGGAGGCCTCTGCCCATTCAGTATGCTGAGCACTGCTCACCACGTTCATGTGATTTACTTGTTTTTAAAGAATCACAAGTTTGACTGCCTGGACAGGAATATCCTGTTAGGTTAAATAAAGGATTCACCTGTAAAAAATAAATCTGTGTGTTTCAAAGACGCTGACCTTGCCCTAGCTTTCTACCTGGAACAAGGACTTTTCAGGATTTGAAGAAAATAAAATGAATCACACTGGGAGTTTCCAACACTGAGAAATTTGTGTATTGTAATCTTCAGGTATCAAAGGCACTCAGAAACCTAGACTAAATAGCAAAATACCTTAAACACAAGAGCATCGTCAAAAAAAAAAAAAGAAAGAGTAGTAGGAGTGCAGAAATGCCAAATGGCTACCCAGGGCTAGGACACATGCGGTAACTTGTTTGTTTCTCCAGCAGAGCAAGAGACTTTCCCTGGAGCAGAGCAGGACACACAGCCCAGCTCACCAGTTTTCACCCATCTACAGGGGGAACCTACACTCACAAAACATTTAGAAATATACAGCCTAGCAGTAGGGAGACAACATTCAACATGTGATCTGTTTTTCCACAAAAGACCCTGAAACACACCGATTAGAACAGTCCATGGTAATACTCAATAGCCTTGAATCTAACAGCAACCGTGTTACTTGTTTCTTCTGAGGGACGTATTTAAGGAACTAGCTGTTGGTTGGGTTTTTTCACAGACACCTGATCTGTAACTTTGTTTAGATACCTATCCTCCATCCCATCTCAGGCATGGAACTGCTCCATGCTTGTATTGGAAGGTTCCTTCATGGTTTCTTTCTTTTTTTTTTTTTTAAATCATAGAATCATAGAATGGTTTGGGTTGGAAGAGACCGTAAAGATCATCTAGTTCCAACCCCTCTACCATGGGCAGGGGATACTGTCCACTAGATCAGGTCGCTCAAAGCCCCAGTTTGGTGAATTTGGGTATCTACTTTGCTTATGGAGGAAACAATGCATTCAACAATTAATACATATTAATATATTAAAATATTTAGATATACTAAATATATTAAGTTAAAATATTTATTATATTAAATTCCATTTATGGAAATAAGATCTTTAAGGTATTTGAGTCTATTATTCTTTAGACTTTGACGTTTACCATTCATGATCCATTGAAAAAAAATCTCAATATATAGTGAAGCTTTTTTTTTCTTTTTTAGATTGTCTGTTAATGCAGCCTACCCATTAAAATCACCTGCAAAGAAAATGTGAAGTATAAGAAAAGCAAAAGCCACTGAGCCATGGAGTCGAACTGAGTTCCAAATAATAAACTCTTTCTATACAAGCTCTAGGTTGATTAGCTGGGAAGCATGAAGGGCTGAGTTAACTTCACTGAAACTGGAGATTTAAATCTGGAAACATAAGGAGAAAGTTATTAAACCATTAGCTTGCGCCCTACAGCCAAATCACTGTGCCGCTTTCGAGGTGCTTGGAATGACCCCTACTCTGCCACTGGAAAAGAAATGAGGTCAGCAACCACCGCAGCTAAACTGAAGACTTGAACCACGGGACCAAACCAATAAGAACACCCTCACAGTAACATCAGTGAGAGCTGGAATAGAAGGAATGTATCCTGAATTAACTGCATCACGACTTTGAGATACTGTAAGGAGGACAGCATGCTACTAACTCTCTTATATGCCAGTACATGCATCTCTTGGCTAATTCATCTAACCACACAAAGGCTAAAGAAAGCTATTCTACATCTTCCTGCAACTCGAGCACACACGTGGCAGGACATCTGGCTAAAACACCTCTAATGCAATCACAACTATGTTCTGGAATTGGGCCAAAGGCTTATGAACAGCATTTAGCTGTGAAACACCCTTTCTCCCTCAGCTATATTTGCTTCCTAACACAAAACACCTGGGAGCAGCAGTCAGCCACAGTGACCTAGATCTCTTGACTCAGTTCAAGGCATGGACTCTGGGAGTGAAAACCCATGAGAATTTAAGGCACAGAGTGATAATTGTGATAAAAATAATCCAATATATTCCATTAAAAAATACCAGTTGGTGTAAAACAGAAAATATATATCCAGTTTAAGGAAGTACTTCCTCTCTTAAGGGTACCTCCTGTCTCTAAATACAGAGAAGTTGCCACTGTTAAAGTCAGAGTGGAAATTTCAACAATCTGGTTTACAGCACAGCTTTAGGGACTAATGTAGCAGCATAACTGAGCTGGAAAACTAAGCAGCCAGGCATGGGGGGTGGGGAGAGACAGGAATAGCGATACTGCGTTTTTCACTTTGAGAGTGACAAACCACTGAAGCTACCTACATTGCATTTTCTGGAGTTAGCTGTTCCAAATAAGCAATCTCTTATGATGTTGAGTGACTGTTGCTGCAAACTTCAGCTCAAATTTATGTGTGGCCAGCTATGTGTAAGGAATTGGTATCAGCAGCAGCATATGAGGTGGCATCAAAGCCTCCGATCTTCCTCAGTACTGCATATGCAAATAGAAACCTCATTAGGAACCATAACTTCTGTTCTGTGGAAAATTGTGGGTGGGGAGAGAGCAAGAAGTAAAGATATTTTTCTCATGAAAAAGTGACCTTGAAAAAGGAATTCTACAAAAACATGTCATTAGGAGACTTTCTGAGAGCACGGAATTATCATCTTCAACACTTAGTTGATTTATTTCATTTTGACTTGCCATACCAAAATGTTGTAAAAAATCTGAATCAAAATGCAGCTAGCCAACAATCATGTGTTTGAAACTGTTTTGACTTCGCTTATATAAATCTCAGAAGATTTAGTAGGTTTGGTTTGTTATTTCAACAGCAAAAATAATGTAATGCTCCTTCAACTTTCAAGTCCCCATTAATTTGCATTTATTAGTGGAAAGCTTTTCATTCCAACCAAAAGACATAGTCAGCTCAACTCTGTCTGCGCTCTTCTTGAAGAGCCATGCAATACAACAACTGAAGTATTATATTCCTCTAGCGTGAGATGCTGTCGATAATGCCTCAAGTCAAACTCATAAGCAGCCTTCACAAAAAATGACCACCGCAGACTGTTACTATGAATGCCACGGTCTCCCACATTCTCATTTCCTTCTCTCTAAGGCAGTGATAAGAATCTGAAATAGAAAAGCACAATAATAAAACACACTACTCCACTAAGCGTAAGCTTTTTACCCTTATTTTAATTACACTGCAGGAAAACACACTCTAATTAAAATGTATCTTGCAGTGTGCTTTTCAACAGTAATACAATGTTAGAGTTTTTCCCTAGGCAGGAGAGGAGAGCTCAGTTATCTCCTGGAGTCCTCATCCATCACCTGGTACAGCTCCCTTCACACAGCTGCTGGAGAAGGACTGGGGGAAGGGAACAGAAGGGAGAAAAACCATGGTGCAAACTAGTAGTTGCAATGCCTAAAAATGAATTTTGGGGCCTCTCTTTCTAAGTGTCGCTAGATGAGCCAACATCCCCGGTGTGCATCGTTCTCCCCACATACTGATCTTGCCCGGCCTGTGAAGAGGAGGGCAAGACAAGTCACCTCTCTAGATGCTGCTTGCTTGTCTGGAGCAGCAGGAAAATGAGGGCAGGTACATGTTAGCCACTGTTCAGCGAGGGCACGTACTATAAATTGCTATTTATATTTTCCATATTGACTGATATGTTTTTCTCTCTCTAATAAACACACCTAGAAGTTCTCCACATATGAATGGTGTCGGCTCCCGTCTGATTCTCCAAGGGAAACAAACCGAGCAATTAATTAATTACGGAGTAACAATCTGCAATTTCAGAACAAACTATGTACAGACATTTCAAAAAGGTTTAAAACCAAAGGAAAGGAGGAAAAAAAAGCAGGTGCTGTCAGTCTACTGAGTTTGCAGATCTTGCACAACGAAGATTACCAAAAATGAATCAGTATTCAGACCAAGTTTACAATAACTACAAATAACAAGGTATTTCCCTTTTTAAAATGAGTCACCAAGGCCATTTTGGAGATATCTGCAGTTAAATTTCTGTGCTGTTTTTATAAGCAATCCCACATGAGTAGGAAAATAAGACATCAGGAGCCCTAACAACAGCCTACAGTCATCTTACAAGTGCCCATTTGAGCTACAGAAACACCTTCTCTCTCATTAACTTTTCAGTAATTTGTCTTTGCTTACAGTGAAAGGATTTTTATTGTTTCTCCACTGGTCCTAGAACCGATTTAGATGACCGTGCAACAACAGCCTCAATACAAACAGCAGCTTCAAGGTACATCACTCAGATTTAGCAACATCTTCTGGAAGCCCAACTTAACTTAAACAAACAAAACCCCTGCAACAGACACATCACTCATTCTACCATAATACCCCTATACCTAGTAACAGTTTCAGCCAGGGAAGATAATTCTGACATTTGGGACCATTCAGGATATACTTCTCTTTCCTAGAGGAGAGGGGGGGGGGGAGGAAGACAGCTTTTCTTATTTTCCTGAGACAC